TCTGTCTTCGCAAGGTTTAGTTGAAGGTGGTGGTGCCAGAAATGTCAGTCGGACCGGCTGAGATGCGAGCAGATACCGTCAGATTATCAGGCTGGAATGAGAGGTAGAGTTGTGTGTCATCAGCGTAGCAATGACCGGAAAAGCCATGTTTCTGAATCAAAGATCCTATTGATGTCATGTAGATGGAGAAGAGGAGTGGTCCAAGCACTAAGCCCTGAGGCACCCAAGTTGCTAGATGTTGAGTCTTAGCTGCCACACCTCTCCACGACACCCTAACGGACCTACCTGAGAGGTAAGACTTGAACCATTGGAGTGCAGTTCCCGAGATGCCCTTCATCTTTAAGATTGACTTGAGGATCTGGTGGTTAACTGTGTCAAAGGCAGAAGACAGACCCAACAGGATGAGAACTGAGAATTTGGTAGCTGCTCGTGCCAGTCTCAGAGCTTCAGTGACTGTGAGCAGGGCAGCCTCAGTTGAGTGTCGCTTTTGAAACCAGACTGATTGTTGTCTAATGGGTTGTTCTGTGTAAGAAAGGAGGAGATCTGGTTGAAAACAACTCGTTCAAGTGTTTTTGCGATGAATGGAAGAAGAGATACTGGTCTGTAACGTTCTAGATGTGCTGGATTTAGATTGGGTATCTTTAGCAGTGGGGTTACCTGAGCCTGCTTAAAAGCTGTGGGAAAGGGATCAATGTGAAGAGTAGGGATGGGTACCGAAACCCGGTATTAAACGGGCCCCGGTACTGAATTTTGAAAGACCGCTGTATCGATAAGCTCGGACGTTACCGGTTCTGCTGTCGGTACTGGAGAAATTAATACACGCAAGTTGGACTACTATTTATTATTCCTATAAAGACGTTATCTTGAACATGTTTATATCGCCAGCCATTTCTATATATAAACTATACTTTAATTAAACCATTTGATGCAAATTTGCAATTCGCAGTTCAGAAGAGATAGAGAGAGAAGAGAGAGAGAGCGATCTCTCACGCAAAGCCACAGCAGCACGCGCAACCCGAAAGCCCTGCTTAATGAGTGACAATGAGGACAGAACTAAACATTCAACGTGGTTACGCTTTAGATCTGGGGTATTATTCTAATATATTTTGTATTTCGGCTTCCAAAGATTATAAAATGAAGATATTTGAGATAAAACCATTAAAAAACGAAACGATCTGTCCAGCTTAACTTCCTTTACTTCACAGCACTGCGGAGCGCTGTCAGTTCTTCCTAAACCGAAACGTAACCGTCAGAATCAGCACGATCGGCGATTGTTGCAAAATGCTGTCTTCTACTGTTGCAAGATCAAGGAAATGGCTATTAAAAACACAAAAGCCTGCGCAAGAGACGCTGTTCACAAGGCGGTGCACGCTCCGAAACGGACTGCAACGAGACAAGAAAAGTAGCCTATAGGCTATACTTGGGCTTTGTGCATCCTTAACTATCAAATATACATAAAAATGTCAAAATGACCAGCTCTGAGATTCACTTAAACACAGTTTATTCACTTAAACACAATTATGTCTTAAATGGACGAAAATGATGGTGCATCAGTCCCCATTATCTGCACTCGGTCTTAAAGGGGCAGCAGTCTAATAGCCTAAACCTGCTGACGATTCAGCCATTAATGCAAATCAAACAACAAAAGGCAGAGAAAATCACTCACAGCTTTTAAATGAGTAACTTTAGATTTAATAAGCATTATTCTATCTATGATAAACTACAGTGCTATTTTATATTTGATTACTAGGTTTCTTTTCAGACAGAAACAATTTCCTATGTTAGTAGACCTTGCTGAAATTAAAGCACTTTGTATATAATTTGTATCTTTGATTAATTGTATTCTTGTGTTTGTACTTGTTTTTTTCTTATGTGTCCTTTTTGTATAAACAAAAAAAGCCTGCACACTGCTGCATAACAAAAATATATTTTTCTTCGTTTTGCTTTTTCTATTTTACATTTCAAAATATAAAGTTTAATTATGTTCTTAATTCTTAAAATAAATAAATAAATAATAAAAACACCAAAAAAGAACCGATAAGAATACCGTTAAAGTACCGGATCGATAAGCGGTATCGGTAAGAGTAGTAATACCGATAAAACCTTAACGATACCCATCCCTAGTGAAGAGAGGTGTTTATGATGTGTGTGAGTGTGGGTACAACTGAGGAAGAAATGGCTTGAAGTAGATTAGTGGGGATAGAATCAAGCAGACAGGTAGTTGGGCGATTGTAAAGTAGCATTTTCAAGGCTTCTGCCTCTGAAAGTAGAGAGAAGGAGGGTAGGATGTGTGCATTTGCTGGTAAAATGTGTCTGTCAGATTGTGGTTTGGCAAATTGGCGGCTGAAGGTGGTTGTTTTATTTATGAAGAATGTGGCAAAATCGTCAGCTATTGGAGGAGGAGGAGGAGAGTCAGAAGAATTGATAATTTTGTTGCGATAGTAAGTCATTTTAGCAGTAGAGATATTAGCAGAGAAGGAAAAGAGGAGGGATTGATAAAGACCCAGGTCTGTAGGATCTTTCGATTTGCGCCACTTCCTCCCTGCACCCCTTAGTTTAGAACAATGTTTGCGGAGAATATTAGATAAACAGGGGGCAGAGGGTGTGGCGTGGGCTGGCCTGGAGGAAAAGGGAGCAGAATTTGTCCAAGGTTGATGTTAAAGTGGAGAAAAGAGTATCAGTTGCACTGTTAGTATCTAGTGCTGAGAGCTGATCAGGTGGAGGAAGTGTGGATGAGACCAAAGAGGATAGGCGAGAGGGTGAAAGTGAGCGTAGGTTCCGCCAAAAGGTGACCTGTGGAGGAGTGTATGTTGTGTTCAGAGGCAGGTTGAGGTTGAGAGTGAGGAGCAGTTGATCTGAGGTGTGCAGGTATTGTCCGTGGAGCAGCATCCCTTGTAGATAAGGTCCAATTGACCCTTCGCTAAGCCACGCCCGAAAACCGCCACTGGCCAATCATGTCTTAGCAACCGTAACTATGCGCGGGAGGTCTGGCAAGCTTTCGAACGAGGGAAACATTGTGCGTATGGATTGTGCAAATCTGATACCGGTATACTAAAAGTTTGGACGCGGGAGAGGAATTGTTTTCCTTCCAGAAAATCTAAAAGCCAAGGGGAGAAATGATTGGCGTGATCAAGCGTCTATGTGCGAGACCCATTCACAACTAGCGTTACTGGTAAATTTCGACATGCTTAACAAAAACATCTAACGTTATTGCTTGGAAATATTGACGGTTCTTTGGTCATAATGATAACGTAAAATAAGACGATTAAAGAGACAAGACAAAGGCTCACTGACATACTTTAAAATATATTTCAGCATTTTGTTAATCGACGTCCTAACGTTATCCCTTACTAAGTAACCTAACCCAATCCGATCGCGGCTCTCCCGGTATTAGTGTTATTCCACAAGATTTATTGATAAACTGTTTGATTTATAATTATTAAGATTATTTTCACATACCCTGCTGTGTATGAACATAGCTGCTCCTCAATTTGTGTTTCCCATTTGAACGGTCAGCGTATGAGGCGCTGCTGCTTGCGCTGGGACTATAACGTTAGGCTTTAACTTCAATTTTTAAGAAATTCTTCTCTAATCGGTTGCATATAATGTCGTGAATATATCCCTCGAATGCATACTGTAGTCGCTTTTGTCTTGCTTTCTCAGATATTTATAGAAATTTCTAATTATTTCATTGAAATGTCTGACACCGGGTGCATCCACACTATAATAGATGGGCCAGCCGCGAAAGCTTGACAGGCTTAGCAACAGTAACTAGGGAGGGCGGGGCTTAGCGAAGGGTCAATTGGTTACCTGTTTTGTGGCTAGCCACAGTAAATACTCGTTTGAGGTCGAATGAGGCAAGCAGGGTGTAGAAATCGGCAGCCTGAGGTTTTTCTATTTTAATTGATTTGTTGAACTCACCAAGATTTATTAGAGTACCATCTTCAGGGAAGGATGAGAGTAGCACATCAAGCTCCTCCAAGAAGCTTGACCTGGGGGACGATATACAACAACAAAATGGATTTTAATTCTAGTTCTAATGGATTAGGACTAGTGATGGTAATTGAATGCGATTCAAATGAGCTGTTGTCACAAAGAGATGGTAAAGTATAAGATTTCCAGTCATTTTCCAAAACTGAAGTTGTATGGTCTGAATGGCTGTTTTTCATCCAGCACTTATTGATTTACAAATTAAGCACTGGTTATAAGCAACCCAATCTTAGGCAGATGCAGAGATGAGAAGCAGCTTTTGCTGTGTATAGATTCAGATCACGAACTGCTCGTGTGTAAATGAACTGCTTGTGTGTAAATGAACAGTCAGTGTTGCATAATTAAATTAAATTACAGCCTTTGCTTGATAATAGCACTACACCATATCACCGTTTAAAATAATCTGTTTTATTTTGATATAATAGTGCTACCCTCCCTGCTTTGGTAATAAAGAGTTTATTGTCTTGATTTCTCCAATAATAGTTTCCACTAATGTGTTTATCATTTGAGGTGGAAAGAGCCCTCAGATGTGTTTGCTTGTCTAGAAAGATTCTATCTGTACGAGAAAAAGCCTTGTTTTGTTCATTGAGTGCTGTGGGTGGTGAAAGGGTAGCCTCTAATGAACTGAAAGTGGAGGAAATGGTTGGTTATATATCACATTTGGAAAATTACATAATTATGATAATAATAACACAGTGGGATTTACCAGTATGATATGCAGCATTAGTGACTGATTCATGCTGAGATTGAAATATTGTCCATATGAAATGATTTTCTCATTTAACTTTTAGATGGGGTTGACAAATAAGAGTGATGTCTGTCAAAAAAGGAAAGGTGTTTTAGAGATGAAGTATGTTATTACATTATAATTAATTTAGTACAGTATTGTCAGTAATGGGTATGCAGTGCTAAGTGTGTTGTGTATTTTTGTAAACACTGTTGTGCTATTCCTGATGTGATGTGTAATGATTCCCAGATTGAACTCCATGTTGATCTTATCTCTCTTCCAGCCGGATAACATCCTCTACCCCCCCTCCATGCCATTCCGCAAGTCCAGCAACCCAGAGATATCTCACGGCTCCAGTTTAGCGCTGAAATTTAAACGACAACTCAGTGAAGATGGCAAGCAGCTCCGGAGAGGAAGCCTAGGGGGCGCTCTTACAGGTAAAACTTTGACTTGTGTTAGGGCTGCTGAAAATCATGATCACGATTATAGGTTGGTGATATGATTGGGTAATCATAGGTGGGTATTATTTCATGATATTAGTAATTTTAACTTCAGCAAAAACTAATACTAGGTTAATGAATGAAAGGAAAAGTCGTCAAAACAGTTACATAAGACAAATAAACAGTCAGCAATAAAACAAGAAAAAAGAAACTAAATTATAAACAAAACTGATTAAAAATACATCAGAACAAAAATACTAATTAAATAAACAGTGCTTTAGGGTTTTCAGTAAGATGTAGAGGGCTCTTTTCGGGTCCTAAAAACTGTACCCGACCCGAATTGACCCGAATCACTACTTACCCGAACCCGACGTGCATAAATTATTGAAAAAAAAAAAGAAAAACCCGACCCGAGACAGACCCGATTAAATTAGACCCGAGTCCGACCCGACCTGACGGCATTTCCTTTAGAACCCGACTGGACCCGAATGTAAACGGCATTGCACTTTTCTCAAAAATGCGCTTAACATAGCAAGTGTATGCTGAGTGCTAAAATGTCAATCACACATCACTGTAACCCTTTAAGTCCTATAACATTTGGCATAATGTTATTTAGTCTGGACCACGATGATTAGAACCACCTCAGGGTAAAATTTACCGATGGCTGTTTTAAAAATAGCCTACAGATTTTCATTAAAATTCTACTAGTCATTGACTTTTACTAAAATTGTGTTATTTAGCCTACAAACCCGTTGTTGCAAAGTTGTTTAGATAAAATGCGATTAAAACAGGGCATTAGAACCACAATAGCAGTCAAATTGGACGTTCTGAATCAAATCTTAATATGGTAACGTTATTGCATCAACGCATTTAACTGCACATCTTTTTTCCTTATCAACAATGATCACAAATCTACGGAGCCCGGGAAGTCACCTATGGGGAAAAAAAAAACAATCCGAGGCGACGGTTTTGCAATCCGTCCCCTCAGTTTATAAACTGTACTCACGGATTCTTAAACTGTTCCCTCGGTTTAACAATTCGTGCCCACGGATTAATAAACGGTACCCACGAGTTCCTAATCCGTGCTCTCAGATTTGTAAACCGTGCCCTCAGTTTTTGCAATCTGTACCCACAAATTCATAAACCGTACCCACGCTTTCGCAATCCGTACTCACGGATTTGTGGCTCGTCCCCCAGAGTGTGCCGCATGATTGAACCAGGCCTCCTGTTTAGATGCAGGATGCATTGTTTTTAAAAGGACTTCACATTCAAAAAATAAATAAATATAGGCCTAACACAAACACAAAGTTATAGGCCTATAATAATAAAACATTCATAAATTGTTTTATGATTACCATAGCGTATTCCTGTCTTAAAGTGAACTCATTTAAATTTATAAACGCAAATAATAGGCCTAATAATAATAATTAGGCTATTATTATTACATTTAGGCTACAGATAAGACTCTTTTATCAAAAAAAGAAACAAAGCAATTCGTCATAATACAGGTTAGACAATAATACAGGGCTGAGATTATCACAAATAAACACAAGATTTTGACGCATGTCCAAGAGTTTGTGCACAAAAAATAAATAACAATGACTTTTTGCCTTTTTTAAACATTTAAAATATTCGCAAATTAATATAAAAAAAATAGACTTTCTAAAAACTAGGCTATATTTTGCCCGCATTGCTAAATGAGAAGGGCATGTCTCTGGAACCATAGAGAGATGATTTATAGGTGATTTATAGGCTAATCATAATAAATTAGTCTGAAAAATAACGATGGATTTTTATTGCTTAAATAAACAGTTTTCTAGTGACGGGTGATCTCCATCTCCGCTGTAAAGCAGATGCACCTTAGAGAAATGCACTTTTCAGATTGTATAGCCTAATCAGACGGTATTTGCTTTCGATTCGAATTTGTTCGTTTAAAAGTGGACATTTCAAGCTTTAGATATAGGCTTTTGTTTCAGCTGATTTATGAGACGCGCTCCGGAGATCATGAAAGCACGCCTGATGAACAATATTTTCAACAAAACAAAAATATTTTATTTTACAAATAGGCCTACACAACGTTTTATTGTTATTGTGAGTTTACACAAATAAAAGTAGTAGCAAATAATTGTATTATGTATAATGTATTTTTTCTGTATGACCAGAAATGCTATTAGGCTATTTTAAATTGTTCCACTGTTATAGGAAGTGTTTGCGGCCGCGGCTCAGTGACAGTGCGCGCTCCAAACAAACACTTGGATATGCGTTTGTTTGTTATAATCTTAGCCCATTGTTATTGTCTAAGACTGATTTGACGAATTGCTTTGTTCTTTTTTTGTGGATAAAAGCGTCTTCTAAATAGGCCTATGTAGCCTATAAATGGATTTTGATAGCTAACGTTAATTAGCCTATTATTTGCGTTTATTAGCCTACTATGAATGAGTTCACCGAAGACAGTAATATGTTTAACATAAAATAATTTATAACATATAAACCAAATATTTTACAGTTTTTGAACTGTGTTATTATTATTGTATTTATTTTTTAGCTTATTATATAGGCTACTGAGCTTTTTCCTCTAAAAAATGGACTTTAAAGAAAAAAGTAGAAAAAGAAAATGCAAGAAATGATCCATTTAAAAAAAAAAGGATTTCAAAAACAATGCAATGCATCCCGCATCTAAACAGGAGGCCTGGTTGAATCATGCGGCACACTCTGGGGGACGAGCCACAAATCCGTGAGTACGAATTACAAACCCGTGAGTACGGATTGCGAAAGCGTGGGCACGGTTTATGAATTTGTGGGTACAGATTGCAAAAACTGAGGGCACGGTTTACAAATCTGAGAGCACGGATTAGGAACTCGTGGGTACGGTTTATTAATCCGTGGGCACGAATTGTTAAACCGAGGGAACAGTTTAAGAATCCGTGAGTACAGTTTATAAACTGAGGGGACGGATTGCAAAACCGTCGCCTCGGATTGTTTTTTTTTTTTCCCCCATAGGTGACTTCCCGGGCTCCGTACAAATCATTGTTGATAAGGATGACCCTAGATGTTTCTGTTCTACATATTCGTTTTCCCTCACATTTTTCGCAATGTCTGTTATTGTCTCCATGCTTGTCTGACAGTGTCGCATATTTTTAAAATTGATTGACAGGCCTGGCTAAACGACAATTCAAATACTTGCATGTAGTCAAACATCCATCCACATGATGGCGCACTAGTTCTTCTTTGCAAACGGAGGGGTTGGTTTTTGTGGAGCGAGCAACTGAGTAAATAAATGCGGAGGCAACCGTGCTTATGCTTATATCCCATTGCACGTAAAAGCGCGGATTCGCTCTCTCACTTAAAAAAAAAGTCAGAACGGTCATAGAGTTGTTAAAATGCTGCAATTTTGTTCAATGACCAACATTGTTTAAAATAATTCGGGTCTTCTCGGGTCCATTTGGAAAAGGCATAACTTATTTATTTTAAGTTACCCAAGACCCGAGGCTACTAATACCGAACCCGACCCGTGTCCGAGACACTTGTCGTAGTTTTGGACCCGAACCCGCTCGGGTCTCGGGTCGGACCTCGGGTTTTCGGATCCAAGTGGACCCGTGAAGACCTCTAGTAAGATGTAACAGTGGTATTCAGATCAGTTATAGCCTATAACAGAAAATGAATAAAGTAATCATAGGTAAAATAACACTGCTGTATACATTAAATATGGACTAATCCTTATGTGTGGATATGGATTAGGGATTTTATCTTTGTCTTTTGTTGTTTGATTAACAGATTTATTTGGCTGCTTTCATTTTAAGAGCTAATGCACAGATAGTATTACTGTTACACACGTGCTCTTTCTCAGTGTTTACATTCACTTTAAGATATAACTGACTATGTTATGAGGACACTTACCAGAAACGGCATTTCTACATATTTGTTTGTAGGCTATTTGATCATTTAGGCGTGTATCTGAAGCCAACAGTATACTTTGCTTATATGTTCCGCCCAGTCTCAAAGTGCGCTCACAGGACTCCACCTAGGGAACAGTGTCTCTTTCGTGGCTTAATACGCTTTTAACACTGTTTAATATCAAGCATCTCCCACAGTTTAGCAACAATAGACAGTATTTTACAACACTCACTTTTTTGGATGTCAAGTTTGAGCTTTTAGGGAGGAATGAAGGTGAAGGAAACGAAGGTGCGTGGGACTGAATGCGGCAGCGGCACAATAACCGTTAAACACGTTGATTATCTTGTTTTCAAAATCGTTGGAAGCCAAAATCGAAATCTGAAATCAATTTCGATTTATCGCACAGCAAATATTTAAACACATTAATGATTTAATTGGTAAAGTTTTATGAATTCAATGGATTAGACATGCTTCTTGATTATTAAAATTGAATTTGGCTGTTAAATTGGATAAAAAAGTAAAGAGTTAATGGATTTCATATGGGCTAACAATTTTAATAAATATTTGATAAATTGTATATAATATGTATAATTTCAATTAGACATGTTTTTTGATTACTAGAGTACAAACTGTAGCAAGCAAGCATGCTTAATCACTATTTTAATTATAAAAAAAAATGGAAAATTTCCTCCCCTCTAAGGGGTTCCTGGCCTCAAAAAGTTTGAAAACCCCTGTTGTAGAGTATAACAAAAAAACAATTGTACCGCGTTTTGTCGAACTCATCAGTTCGTGCTCATCCGGAGTTGTGTTTACTTTATAAGCTGTGAGGTCACGGCTGTGCGGGAGATGCCGAACTTGGAAAATAAAGTACACCGTGCCTTTAAAGGGATAATTCACATTTGCTTACAAACATACTCACTGGACTACACTATGTTCCAGGTCTATTGGAGTCATTTGATAGTTTTGTGTAAGGAACAGATGATAATGTATTTATGCTTTTTGCATATTAGCTAGCTTCATTTCGGAGGGTGGGGCTTTGCAGAGGGGGCTTGTGTTAGTTAGCTTAGGCAGAGTTAGTAGTTTAGGCAGAGTTTTTTTTTTCTCAAGAAACTTTGATTGTTTACAAGATGACCTCAGGTGGCAAATATAAGTATACATTTATGATATGGCCTCTTTTAAACATTAAATATGTTAGTCAGAGACAATCCAATCAAGACCTTTTATAGAACTGATCCCAATCACTCGATCTTGTTTAAAGCCATTGTGAAAAGTAAAGTCAGAACTTTATAATGCAGAAAGTTGCGATTTCATTTAATATTTCTCTGTTTTAGATTTGGCTTCTAAGAGCTTCATTATACTATTTTCATTAGACGTGACATTCTGACCACCACCATATTTGACTACATTGTTTCATGTGTTTGTCTTGCTGTTCCTCAAGGTGTGATGTGTTGAATCAGGTATATAGGGCACGGTGCTGAAATGTGCTGAGGGCGTCTAGCTGGCATTTCCTCAGTCATGTGGACGATGACTATATAGAAGCTGTTTCGCAGGGAACAGGAATCGCAGTTTTCCTCCTACGTATCCTGTTTTTTGACCGGGTTCTGTGACCATATAGAGCCCACAAACACATAAATACAGGTTAGCAATGGGTTGTCTGGGATACAGTGCTATAGCTAAACAGTGTTTCTAAGAGAAGAACATATAAAGGTCCAATTATAAAAAAAAAAAAAAAAATCCTCTCTCACCTCTCCTAAACTGAAAACATATATAAATCTTTTCTGTTTGTTTCAATCTGATTTAGTTCAGTAGTTTGAAGGCAATTTTGCCCTTACTGCCATGAGGTTTTGCAAGTTGCCAGGGAGAAGATTGTTCTGTATTAATCTTGAGGGGACAAACAGCTGCTGATTCATAAATAAATTACTTAGAAATCAAGAAACACTTACACTTGAACACTTGACACGCATAACATGAAGTGAAAAGCAGAACAGATATGCATGGGCAAACACATAATACAAATGATAAGGATCGGAATACAGATAAGTCCATTTTAATCACGTGGAGAAGTTCAATTTAATACATTTGATTGCATCTTATATTTGTAATAATGAGCTTTTATATTTTCCCAAATCAAATGAATTGAAATGAATTCTGCAATGTCATGGCCAAACTCCTGCCATACCTTGATTTGACTATTTATTTGTCCAAAAGGGACACAAGCTCCCTGCTAATGCATTATTTGCCATGCAAGCAGTTATTTGGAAATAACACATCAAATATTTGCTTCTCTGAGTCTACAAAACCATTTAAAATGACAAGGCACAGTTTTACGCAGCACCTAATGCACCATGAAAACAATTCCTGAAATGTAAGATCACAAAAGCGTAAATTTATTATATTAAACCGTATACAATTTAGTTAGTTCTAAAAGATTTAATTTCGTCTGACATGACTCCTCAACCAATAAATTGCATTTGCATGGCAGCTCAGTGTTATGAAGGTATATTAGATTATCCATCTAAACTATCAACAGATCAACGGGGGGCTGGAAAAGGATTAGTTTAGGTGAAGAGGCCGTCCACAGTGCTGAAATGTTCTGTGACAGTGTGAAAGGCATGAATATACGATAAATAAGTGTGAAAGGCATGAATATAAGATAAATAGTGGTGTAGAGTTTCTCTCAAAACTAACTTTTCTCAGCCATTTTTGCAATTACTTTTTTTTGATCAGCTGGTGTGACGAAGATTTTCATCATATTAACTATAAACCTCACTATTTTTTTTTTAAACCGTACAGTTTATCTATTGTTTTACTATTTAACTCTATTTTCATAAAATGTTTGGCTTAAAGTGTGCTCGTGCTATATTTCTGTAAAATAAATACCCCTTGATTTGATATCTTGCTATCTAATGCAATGAGTTCATATATTTAAAGGGATAGTTCAGCGAAAAATGAAGATTCTGCAGTTCCAAAGCTGAATAATGTCCTTTCTTCTACGGAACACAAAATAATATTTTTTAAGAAGTCTATTTGTCCATACATTTCTAAGTCGGTGGGATTTAAAAACACACTGGACCCCATTGACATTCATTTGCAAAAAACAGAAGAAATTGAAAATTTGTGGTTAAATTTTGGGTGAACTACCTGTGGTTTAAAAGGCCATTCACACAGATCACTGTCTTCCCTGTTTTTTTCACATTTTTTGTGAATAATGTCAAAAAGACTCAAGCACAACAGATAAAGGATTAGTTCACTTTTGAAAAAACTTTTGCTGATAATTTACTCACCCCCATGTCATCCAAGATGTCCATGTCTTTCTTTCCTCAGTCGAAAAGAAATTTAGGTTTTTGATGAAAACGTTCCAGGATTTTTTTCCATATAATGGACTTCAATGGGAACCGGATGGTTCAGGTCCAAAAGATAGTGTTAATAACAGTTTCAGATGCAGCTTCAAATGTCTTTAAACGACACCAGACGATGAATAAGGGTCTTATCATGCGAAACGATTGGTTATTTCAATGCTTATTCCAAAAATGTAACTTTTCTAAGGACAAATGCTAGCCTTTCTCCATTCTGTGAGGCGCGTTTGCAACGTCACGTAGTACGTAATTACGTTCAAAAGGTCACGGGTGACGTAGTCAGAAGTACAGAGTCAGAGTGTTTACAAGTTGAACGCATAGGTTGAACGTGCAAACTAACTCAAACGCCGTTTACAAAAAAGGAATTAAAAGGTAAAACAACGATGTCGGACGATTTTGATTCTGTACTTCCGGCTACGTCGCCCGTGACCTTTTGAACGTAATTACGTATTACGTGACGTTACAAACGCGCCTCACAGAATAGAGCAAGGCTAGCATTTGTCCTTAGAAAAGTTACATTTTTGGAATAAGCTTTGAAATAACCGATCGTTTCGCATGATAAGACCCTTATTCATCGTCTGGTGTCGTTTAAAGACATTTGAAGCTGCATCTGAAACAGTTATTAACTGTCTTTTGGACCTTGAACCATCCGGTTCCCATTGAAGTCCATTATATGGAGAAAAATCCTGGAACGTTTTCATCAAAAACCTAAATTTCTTTTCGACTGAGGAAAGAAAGACATGGACATCTTGGATGACATGGGGGTGAGTAAATTATCAGCAAAAGTTTTTTTAAAAATGAACTAATCCTTTAAACATGTCCATCTGGTGCATTGTTTACATTGAAAAACAATGGAAAAGCTGCACAGTAGAATGCAAGTCCCTAAGTGTCCAAAAGTTTTTTTGGCGTTCTACACTGAAAAAAAAAAAAAAGTGTATTTACACAAATCGTATGCCTAGCTCACTGTTCGTTTTGACGTTTGCTCCACACCAGGCATGTCTCTATAGATCCTGTAAAGTGGGTCATGTTGATCAGCATATGTTTGTTATGACATGTCCGTTGTGATGCGTCACTGAGTCATATGCTGTGAAATTGTAAGACACTCCCAGAATCCTCTATGATCTTGTCTGAACATATTAGATTATTATTCATCACCTTACCTTCAAGAACATGTTTTGTCCAGTATGCTACCACTAAATAATAGGGGTGTAACGATACCCTTGTGTCACGATTCAATACACATCATGATATGATATTACTGCGATTCTCCAAGACGTATGGTAAAAGTTTAACAAAATATGTACTGTCGATTTAAAGTGATATTGTGGGTTTAAATGAATAGGCTTGGACTTGGTGCTTGTAAAAATATTCATGATTCTGAAGCTGAAAATACAGAATAATTTTAGACGAATATGCTTGCACTCAGTCACTGACTACTAGATCTATTTAAATTAAATGTCAGGTAACATAAGACATTTGGCAATATCAGGACCCACAGATATTGCATTATTATAGATTATCAACATTATATATAGTAGTTTAATGTAGTACTGACACTAAAACTCAAACTTTTTCACACTAATTTTTATTTTGGGGGAACTATCCCACACTAAATACTAAACCCCTACTAAATACTAATGTTCCCTGGAATCCTGCTGTACTTTATAGATGTAATTTTGTATATGCAGGTATGTATTTGAAGAGTTCAGATGCAAAAGCCTCTAAATGCCATTTGAAATTTTCATCTTTAATGATGATTTTTATCAAACTTGTATATTTAAGTTCAGTAATTTCACTTAAATAACAATTAATAGGTAATTATCATTGCCATTTAAGTGAAATTACTGAACTGATACAAGTTTGATAAAAATCATCATTAAAGAAGAAAATTTCAAATGGCATTTAGAGGCTTTTGCATCTGAACTCTTCATTTATATTCTGTATCACTAGAGTTTGTGTATATGTGTGTATATATAATGCATGTATTTACGGGGGTTTGACGACAAAACTGAAACAATGGCCAATATATTTTTTGGAGGTTTTACGCCTATATATGTGTGGCCTGGTGGAGAATCTTCACTGACTGCACAGTCCTTTATTGAGAGCAGAGTGTGAAGGTTGAATTAGTAGCGTTACGGTGTGGAGAAGCCCCAAAGAGCCTTAACACCCATACTGTTGCTGCCCCTAAGCACGGAGTGGATCTGTGATGGTTTGGGCTGCAATATTATGGCATTCTCTACTGTTCTTGATGGACGTGTCACTGCCAAGGACAACCAAACCATTCTGGTGAACCATGTGCACCTAGAGGTTCAAACATTTTACCCTGAAAGGTGTATCAGCATAATGCACCACACTCAGTAAGACTTGTGACAGAATGTTTTGATACACATGAAAATGAAGTTGAACATCTCCCATGGACTGCACAGTCACCAGATTTAAATATTTATGAGCCACTTTGGAGTATTTTGAAGGAGCAGAAGTCAGAAAACGTTATCCTTCACCAGCATCACATGGCGACATGGCCACTGTTCTGGAAGAGGAATGGCTTTAAAATCCCTCTGGCCACTGTGCAGGACCTCTATCTGTCATTCCAAAGATGAACTAATGCTGTATTGGCCATTAAACCCAGGTGTTTCAGTTTCATTGCCCACCCCCTGTATAGGTGTATGTGTGTTTTACTCACACAAATATATATTTATTTTATTTTATTTTTTTTTCCAGGGAAGTACCTGCTGCCATACGCTTCAACCCAGCAGGCATGGTCAGCCACGGGCTCAGAGACCACCAACTTGGTGCGCATGCGCTCCCAGACCCTAGGAAAATCTGCGCCCTCTCTCACTGCCAGCCTGGTCAGTATACCACAAACGAATAGAGTTTAACCTGTAATCATGTGGTGGATTCCCTGCTCAAACACTAGGGAGCGCCACTGTATCATTGGCACAAAAAATAACATTGATTTGGTCTGATCTGATGGAGTCGATTGTCATAAAAAACCTTCTCGTTTCAGTACAGTAGACTCGCAGGATGTTTGCATTTTAGCATGTTGCATTCGGAAAAAAAAATTAGTTTGAAATTTGAATAAAGTCTTTTGACTGATGAGGATGATTAACCTGTTCAGTCTTATTGAAAGAAGAATAAGAAAGATAGAGCCAGGAAGTTATTAGAAAAATATGATTTTTATACACCTAATCAGTTCACTTAGATTTTACTGATTTTCTATGAGGTGGGTTGAATCCAACCAAAATGAATGACACTTTGTAGTTCCAGTTTGTATGAATTGAAATCACACCTCGGTTGCCATGAAAAATCACATATTGTTGTCTATAGTCTGTATTAAGTAAGTATCAAATATGAGGGGTCGAAAATTGGAAAAAAGGGAAATTTCACACACAAATGAAAATTCTCTCAAAATTCGGTGTACTTAGCTTCATATATAAGTTTATATTTTTTTAAAAAGTATAACACTTATTCCTCAAAATATCCAGGTGTCTGTATTTCGTACAATGAAAGTGTTGACCAGAGGTTGTCAAACCAGTGCCATAAAATACTCTATACTCTTACTATGCAATTTGTAAATGTTATTCTTTGCATGAGTTGTATAAAGAAATTCAGGATCGCAGCAAGTTGGAGAAGTAGTCCTCCTGCTGGGTCAGTGAAATTGTTAGTAACACTTTAGAATATACTGTTCGATCATTAATCCATAAGTGCAGGAACAAATGAGAAATATCTTTTGTCTGCTTTTACCGCTTGTATAATTTAAATGGAAAGTGTACCCCAAAATTCAAGTTCTGTCATCATTTACTCACCCTCACGTCATTCAAATCCTTAAATCCTGATTATGTTTGGAAAACAAATTAAAGGGGTGATGAACTGAGAAATCAAATTTTCCTTGAGCTTTTGACATCTAAGAGGTCATCATGTTATAAGAATATCCTGTAAGTTTCAGAACTGAAAACATCCTTGTTAGTCCAATAAAAGCTTTTATTTACACCAGCCTCTGAAAACGTCTCGTTTTTAAAAGTGGGAAACTATGACGTCAAAGAACATCACCCCCGCAGAAGAAGATCAACACCTACTTCAACACGACCGGTTTAGCCCCGCCCACTGATTCGCGCATTACACGCATAGCTAAGTAGCCTAACATACATGCCTACCTGGTGATGACAAACCGGATCGATATAACGAGCAATACAGAGTAGGGATGCACGATATAGGATTTTGGCCGATATTCGAAATGCCGATATTTTCAAACTAAATTTGCCCGATACTGATACCGATATATTTGTATTTTTTTAAGTGCAAAAAATGCTTATTAAAGCTTCTATTAAAGTTCTCAGTCAAGAGCAGTGAGTGATTTCCTCTGTGTTTTGTTGTTTTATTAATATTAACCCAAACAGTTTAATTGTCATCATTTATTACTCTCTCAAGTTTCTTTCTTCTGTTGAAATTCTAAAAGTTATTTTTAGTAGGTACATTTTTAGTAGGTACGAGACTTCCTTAGATTTCCACGACGCATGCGCGAGAATTGCGATCTGAAGTAGTGTAAGCAGATCGCAAATCTCACGCATGCGTCGTGGAAATCTAAGGAAGTCTCGTTTCTGGCTACAAGGAAGAAAAGAAATAGTCGAATAAACTCGTTATTTTTGTTTGTTTTTTCGCACAAAAAGTATTCGCGTCGCTTGATAAACATATAGTTGAGCCACGGTAGTCACTTGGGATATTTAAACATTTTCTTCATTGACTTTCTGGGCCGTCAAGAGGCAGTCCCTTAGGCAGCCAATGTGGTAGTGATACAGCTCTCAAATTTAATCAAAAATATCTTCATTTGTGTTCCGAAGACGAACGAAGGTCTTACGGGGTTGGTACAGCATGGGGGTGAGTAATTAATGACTTAATTTTCATTTTTGGGTGAACTAACCGTTTAAGTCTCTTTAAGAACTGCACGTGAACGCATCACTTGATGCGTCTAATATACACGCATTTGACAAGGAGATTTTCTCTGTTTGCTTTCACTTTAGACATAACCAACTTTGTTTATGTAAACGTTGTGTGTATTTGACAGTATCAGCGCAATAAGACTCGGAAGATTAGTCCAGTATGCAGGCGCTGTGACTGGCTTTTAGTTCCTGCGCGTCGAGTGAACGCGCTCAGAAAAGCGGATGTTAGAACAGCGCATCAGCACAGCACGTGAATGATATGTTTACCTAGCAAGACTTTGACGCACATGCAAATAATGAACTTTTGTGAATTGCGGTGTCCCGTGAGTGTAAAGGGGGTCGTACACCGGACGAGAAGCGCCGCGCCGCGTCTAGGACAACTCCAGGTAGCTATCGCACACCGGACCGAACGCGCACTTTCTCATCAGTGTATGGCCAGCAATATTGTTATGTTTAATGATATGAAATAATGAAGATAATAATGTCTGTTCTATGTTATGATTGCTACTATATATACAATTGTTGCCAAGTCTGCATTCTGAAAACTTTACCTCAGAGCATCCGTTAACTCAATGAATTGAGAATCTCACCTGAAAATCCAATAACATCAGCAATTGTCATTCAAGCAGCTGATTTCTGTAAGTGAATGCGAAACTAAATGTATATTGCAGCATAGGGCGAAGTCAGGATCTCTCCCTCTGCGTTTACGTTACATGTGACTCTACCTCTGCGTTTACATGTGATGTGATGTGAATGTACGTCGCGTTGTACAGTATGTTGAGATGAAGGCGCCAGAATTGAACTGATAGAATGCACGATAGCCTACTATTATTTTTCTTCAAAAGCAGATCGTGGAGAGATTTTAATCGTCCACGATCAAAAACAGTGAGACGCACGCACACCCCTAGTTGGAAGTTTAAGTTGCTGGCGCTCATGCTTCGTTCGTGGTCGTCACGCGGGCATAGGAAACACACCATCAATCGGCAAGGCTCATCGGCAGAAATATTCATAGCTTATGCAGCGACTGTCTTCTTCCACAAACAGGCACTGCACACAATATTCTGTATTAGGGATGCACGATGATATCGGGACAACATCGGTATCGGCCGATAAAAGCTTAAAATGACCATCATCGGCCGATACCGATGTTGTCCCGATATCATCGTGCATCCCTAATACAGAATATTGTGTGCAGTGCCTGTTTGTGGAAAAAGACAGTCGCTGCATAAGCTTCCTTTGGATTCCAATAGGACTTCATGGATAAACTTTATTTTTAATGACGTTCCAGCTGATGAGGCTAAAACATCGTCGTCTGTTCGCTTCATTTCACTGAGGAATGTTTTGTAAACAAGACTGGATTTGCAGACCGATTAAGAGTAAAGAACGTGCTGTGCCGTCTATATTGTGCAACACTCGGATTTTGGGTCGAACATTTATGGGCGAATCCGGTTGCCATTTGACAACATTGGACGTTTTCCCCCACGTACACCGACGGGTGAGTTAAACTCATTATAATATGCAAAACTGTTCTCCACTCACAGCAGTGGGCGTTTATTTCCAAGTCTTCAGTGCGACACTCCCATAAAAACCGACCGTTTTTCAGGAAGGCTCACAACTTGGGTACAAAATAGCCTATTCCTTATTCATTTTGATGTTTTTGAATGCAAAAACCAAGCGAACGTCTTAAAGCTATGGTATACGATGTTAAAAATCGGTCGAGACGGTAGGGAAGTTTTAAAAAACTCATCCCGCCCCTCCACACACACCCCCCTCCCCTCTGTGCTACCTGATCCCTGACGTATGTCACGTTTGAGTTCACGTCAACGCAAGATTAGCAACACATGAAATGTTCTAAACTCCCCACCACCATTATAATACTACTAGTATTGCTAAGGTTTTCAGTAATTGTTATTGCAGCACGCAGCGCATCTTGTTCAAATTCCGATCGGCTCGAACAGAAACCTCGAACAAGAAATATAATTACTTTGAACCGCGATCGGCGATGCTAAACGGCTAACATTCCAATGCCGACCGGCAGCATGAGCAAGTTGTCAAACTGATAAAAAGCCACGTAACACGTCACACCATAAAAGAATAAATAAATGTTTACCTGCTCAACAAAAAGTCATCCGTGTCAGCGTCGTTTTCAGCCCCAGATCTCCCTGAAGCTTTCTCCAATGGTCAATGAAGGACGCTATATTTATCCTACTTAGAGTCCGGCGTTCTTCACATTTCTTTTTAATCTCTGATCTTTCCTCCACAGACTTTCTCTTGCGTCCAAACTTTACAGTAGAGGCAAGCAGGGGCCGCTTCCTGTTGTCGTTTATATTTTTATCCATTGCTTTATCCATTGCTGATCTGACGCTACTAGCTAGCTACCATAGACAGTCTGCCAGCTGTTTGCTTGCGCACGGAGGGGGGCAGGGGCGGGGCGGGTGCGGTTGGGTTGGAGACGTGAGCGCCAGGCGGAGTTTCAAGTGGAGCTGGTGATTGGATGAGAGCAGTTGCGGCCGCACAGCTTACATTGGTCAACTTTTCTGCGGCTGTACAGCCAATAGAGTGAATGGATTTTTTTCGTTCTTTTTTCTATTCATATTGTTAGGATTGTACTATCTAACCATAACCAGCATCTAAACGAGGATATTAATAATGAACAATCTTTGAAATCGTATTCCCCTAGCTTTAAGTTGACCTCAGACAACAATATAATAAAATTTTAAAAGCCAGTTCATGACCCCTTTAAGATATTTTTGTCCATCCATTGACAATCCATGAAACCAAAAAGCTGTGATGGTTGCATGAGAACAAATAAGGTTTGTTTGTATCTGTTGATTTGTTTATCAGTGATTTGTCTCTTCAGAACACTTGATTATATAATATTGATTGATAATACATTGATTACATCTGTAATT